AATGAGAAGTTAAATCCATATTCAACCCCCAAATTGAAGAGTTAAAATTTGAAGTGAAAGAAAATATCGCCATAACTTGCAATTTTGTTTTACGCTTAAAATATATTTTATATATATATACTTTCAAAATAAAATTGAAAAGATAAAATTTGAAGCAAAATAAATCATAACCTTCAATTTTAGTTTAACATTTTACAATATAGTATTGGAATTTGAAAACGCAAACCAAAAATTGATAATATCTTATAATACTTCAACTACTACAAAAAAAAATCTATATAAAAATGACACAGCAGTTACACATTTACATATGAAGAAAATGATAAGAATACTAATATAATCAATAATACCTATAGCTAATCTTCACCTTGGATTTTGAACTCTTATTCAAATTTAATTAGGGTCAAATTTGGATCAAAGGGATGGATGGATAAACCATCACTTTGAAAGGAATCCATAACTTCCTCCTCCTCTAGTGGATGGGGCCAAGGAAGACTTTTTAAAATTTTTTTAGAAAGCTCCCAAAGACAACCATATAAATACAAACTCTATTGATTTAAATTCATGTATTAAATTTTGTAAATGCAATTTTTGATGTGCATTTGTTATATGAAAAATTATTCAGATGCTTACACGATATTAATATAGAATTTAATCTAAGTGCAAATGAAACACCAAAATTATAATTTATATACTCTAAATTTAATGTCAGATTATAAAGTCCAAATTAAAAATGTAGAACTTAGAAAAACAAATCTACTGAAGTGTCCTAGGCTCACTAAATACAAAAGAAAAAAAAATTTTCTTTACTTAGCTTATAATAATATTGCCTACCATTATCCACCATTAAAATATATGTATCAAATTTCAAATTCTATGAAATTTGAATACAATATAAAGACATTCAATGAGTCAAGAATTTTTTGAAGGAGGAAAAATATATTTACATACTTAATTTAAAATTACCGAAAAAAGGTTTGAAATATTGTTGTTTCTATATTGATTTGAATGTCTATCTTAATTTTCTTAATTTACAACACAGCCTTTAATCTTAGTGTTCCCAAATTAAATGGTTTTAAATATTGTTATTTCTTTTTTATTATGGGCATTTGTATTTTACTGAATTATACTCATTTATAAGTTTGATAAGCTTTTAATTTGAAGTGATATGTTAGGTTTTCTTTAATTAGTTCACATTAGAATATGCTAATTAATAGCTTTGATGTGATAAGTATATAATCCGAAAATGAAATGTTGTTTTATTTAATTAAAATAGGTTAAAATTCTAAGAAGAAAGGATACGAAGTTGAGAGTAATTTTCCTAATCTACTACGTTGCATTTGCCAAATTAAATGGTGTGGAGTATTGTTACTTTCTTTTTGGTTGCGGTCACTTATATATATATATTTTGAATTATAGTCTTTTATAAGTTTGGCAAGTTTTTAATTTGAGGTGGTATGTTAGTTTTCTTCAATTAGTCGACTTAAGGATCGCAGCTAATTGATAGCTTCAATATGATTTTCCTATAATCTAAACATTAAATGTTGTTTTATCTAATTAAAAAATAAAAATTCTAAGACAAAAGGATAGGAGGTTTGGAGTTTTCTAGGAGATGAAATCTGAAAAGTTATCTTCAAATATATAGATATATAGATTAGTATCTTCTATTAGGTCGTTCTAGAAAAACAATATACTGGCCGATGAAATGTTTTTCCTTGATTAAATTTTTCCTAAATTGATGGAATATTTCTTGAATATCATAAAATATTAGCGCATCAAAGGCAAGGAAATAGGGATATAAACAAATTTAATCAAGCAAAATACGCTAATGTTCAAATTTGTTTGATTAATTTAATAATTTGAAATTTTGTTCAAATTTGACTTGTTTATTTACCGAATTGAGTTTGAATGATTTTTTTAAAATCAAATTTGAATGTCATCAAATATAAAATGGTATTCAAACTTGGCTTGTTGAAGGAGTTCTTATCAAGTCAACCTTGATTTGAACATTAAATAATTTGATTCATCTTTCAACCCTATAAAGAAAGCATTGGATTTTCTTGCGAAATTATCAAAATTGCATAAGATATCGCGCGCGCGCGCGTGTATATTTTGGGGATGCTAGTGATTTTTTTTTTTAAGGTTCTACTTTTCTTGGAAGCTTCTATTTCCTCCTCCAAGTGGTCGCGGAATTGTTTCTTGATATAATCCTCGAACTGCTTAGGCTTGAACTTGTGGCTTTTCGTGTTTGCATAATAAGTTTGACTTAGGGTCCGTTTGTTTCGGGTGAAAATATTTTCTAGAAAAATATTTTCCTAATTTCCCATGTTTGGTTGGACAAAAGTTACTGAAAACATTTTCCTATGTAAAATATTTTCACTCATCTTATGGAAAACAACATCCTTTCCAAACTTACTGAAGTTGTTTTCCAAAATGCATGCATCCCGCTTGTAGTATGTTCCAAACTTACTGAAAACATCTTGTAGTATGTTCTTTTTTTTTGTGTAAACAGGAGGACTCGAACACAAAATCTCTTCCTTACACTCCCTCCCCCGTACCACCCAAGCCAACCCAACCCAACCCTCCCCCTAGTATATTCAAAATAAAAAGAAACCTCATCCTACTCATCCTATGTTAGTAATTAATTATGTATAATAGGACATTCTTTCTAGAGAAACTTCAGCATGAGAGTGCAAGATATATGTCACAATAAGCATTACATGTGATTGATATTTGACACTAAATGACCAGCAATTTGTTTATTGCTTAAGGAGATATTTTTTATTCATATATACATTTCTCCAAGATTTTTTAAAGTTAAACAATGAGATAATTTTCTTATTTTGCATGGGAAGAAGTATGTAGTTATAATGTGTAGAAAGTAAAGATAGAGATAAAAGTGAAAATATTTCAAAAGTTAAACAAACACCAGAAAAATGAAATAAGAAAATCCAACCAAACAGACCCTTAATGTGTGTGTGTATATACATACTCCAATTAATGTGAGTATATTTTTGCAATTAATGCTCTTTAATAAGTCGCGGACTACCAACTAAAATCCTGTGATCCCAATTCTCGTCCAGTCCACAAACCATAAACTTTTAATGCAAGAGGCCTAGGTCTTTTTTAAGCTTCTTGATGAAAATGAAAGCAAATCTTGCATTTCCATTGTATCCTATGTCATCAAAGTATGGAAATATATACATACTAATCGTCAAATTAAGCTATTGCCTGATGATTGGTATCATGTCTTCGTCAGCCAGCCAGGCTATTAAACACTGCTTAGTGAACCGCTCGGACGATACAAAGCCATGCATGCATGCTGTTGTAATCCTAGTCCACATTGTGGCTGACCTGAAAGGCATAAAATTAGTGGCTCAGGGTATGGGCCGGGAGTCATGTGGTGTGACACGACGCAATAAATAGAACCCACACATTGTGGTCTTTTGCCTTTGGGTTGGGGCCTCTACGTTTGACAATTTTACATTTGCCCCTCAAAGTCTGGACTGCACACGGAGTTGTTGGAACCAGAGATGCTACCTTTTATGGTATAATAATAATACGAATTTATGACTCTAGAATTACAAATTTGATTAGGGTAGGTGCATTTTCTAAAAATGCTTGCATTATCAGAATTTACTTTGTATCTACATTTTATTAAAAACAAAAAATAAAAATTTATTTTAATGATTCAAGCTGGAGATATTATACTCGATCGGTATTTTAAACAATACTACATCCCATCTTTACATTTATCTTCATGAACTATACATTAGCTTAGAAATAAATAATTAAAGCCTAAACTTCACATTTTTCTTACAATCTTTTCAGGAGAATCCCGTACAAGCTTCAACCTTGGCCATTTTTAAGATCGATCCTAACTTCAAGAACCTTAACCATGCAGTTATGATGCGAATTGTGCTATCTCCTTCGATGCCCAAAAATAAATAAATAAATGCACGAGCTTAATTATGACTGGATGGTGTACAAACAAACAACAGAAGAAAAGAAGGGGAACCTTTTCTACGACCAAGAAATGAGAGTTTATTATATAGTATGTTGGAGATCTTCCAACTGGAGGAAAAATAATTAAAAAAAAATATATTCATAATTTTATGTTGGGGAGTTACGAGAAAGGAGATAATTGCACTCATTATGACATGACTCGAGGGGGTTATGACTTGTGCATGAAAGTTAAGATGGAGAGGTTACGTGTGAATATTCTACTATAGTCTTAAAAATGCATTAATTCATTTGGCATGAGTTACAAATAAAATTCAGTTTGGAGAATAAATTATTCAACAGTATACTAGCACCCTCCACATTAACACATCCAATAAATTTTTTTTTAAAAATAAAATTCCGGTGCTACTGTTCCAAAAGGCTTAAATTAAAAGTTCACATGAAAGAGTCGTACTTGACACAATATCCAAAGAGTCGTAACTTTTTATTTCTGAATAAAAGCTAATTCAGGGGATTAGTCGGGCCCTCGTAAGGATTGACCCGGACATCCCTGTGTCGAAAAAAAAGAAGAAGAATAAAAGCTAATTCAGGTATTGCCCTAATTCTATTCTAGCTAGTAGCTAGTAGTTTTGGTAAGAGAACCTAGTGGTAGAGTTCATGTGTCTTTATTATTTATTCTACTACATCTTTTTGGGGTGGTTCTGGAGCGAGGGACAGCTGCTTGTATTAGAAATATAGTATTTAAAAAACAAATAAATAACTGGCAATGTTGGTTAAAATTGATAAGAAGAGGTTGAGGAAGAAAGGCAAAGGCTGAGATATGGGATTTTGAGCAGAAATGCAACTTCACCGAGAGGTTCAACCACCACCAACCTTTTTGCCATTGACCAGCAAACCGATTTTAATGTAACAACATCGAAAATGAATTCATTTTATCTGTTACCTGTACATACGTGTCTAAATCGCCGCCCTTCTGTTTCTTGTTTTTTTTCTTTCTTTTTTCATCGAAATGATATTTTCCCTTCTTCAGTCTTTTTTGTCTACAAAACCTTCCAATAAGTAAAGCAAGAAGAGCAAGTTAACTAAGAGAGAGCGTTGTCGTTGGATGTTATCGTAGAAAGACAGAGAGTTAGCACTAGCAGCAGCAGCTGTAGTAGTGCATTGGTGGGTTACCTCCAAATTAGGACTACAATTATTTCTTCTCTAAACTTTGAGAAAACAAAGAACCTACCATCCATTTTCTCTTTCCCTTCCAGATCATTTTCCTTGTATATTGCTTCGTAATTCAACCAAGCTGATCTCAGAAAACAGATTGTACTGAGCAGGACCCGCGGGTTGCCTTGACATTTTCATACTACTGTTATTAACATTTCCTTCTTACCATTTCCAGCAATGGTTGCATTAAAACCAATGTTTCCGTGACCCCCCACCACCACCACCTCCTCCACCTCCCAAGAGTTAACTCTTTCTCGGATCGATTTTGAACCGCCCGCCACCGCTCTCTTCGTTGGGCTGGTCTGGCCAGCCAGGCGGTGGCACGTACTTAAAAAGCTTTCTTCTCAAATTTTATAGTATATCTATCATTAGTTTTGCAATGGAAGTTAAGGCACGGTCTAGATCGGCCCTACTAATGACTGGCAGATTTCTGAACCATTTGCTCAGCTTGATCATGTTCTCTGTTCTAGACCTGCTTGATTTTGCGCTGTGTTACTTGTACAAAGTGATAGATTTTTTCGTGGAGGCAGAACGGAAGCCCTGTTACTGCTCCTCGGCTAAAGAAGCCATCACCAGCAGTGGCAAAATCTTAGTCTCGGAGCAAGGAGAGTCTAAAAAGGTCGTATGCCTGACCTCTACCAAGTTGCAGCTGGAGGAGATCTCCGACACGCTCTACACTCGCCCTGCATTGCTCTCCGAGGTCTCTAAGTCCACCGTCAACCGCCTCACCGCCAACAGCGGCGCCGTCATTCAGAAACCCGACAAGAATACCAAGAGGGGAGGAGGAGGAAGAGGAACGCTACGCTCAACGTTCACCGTCAATTCCACCATTGTTGAAATGCTGCAAGGTAAAATCGGGGCGGCCCCAACCCCCCATCCTCCCATGCCAAGGTGGTCAGATTGTGATTGTAAAACCTGCAACTCCTGGGCGTCTTCTTGCAAAGAGACCTTATACGTCAAGGTCCAAGGAGCCACAGGTAAAGCCGCACCAATATTGCGCGCCTTGAGCTTCAAGATTTTTCCTTTGTGAATTTGACCGATCACTGACTGCAGCTAGTGTTGCATTAGTAGTTGTAGTATATAGTAATTCTTTTTTTTTTTTTTTTCGGTGGAGTAATGTGGAAGAAGACGTGATATTCATACACGGCTTCATCTCATCTTCAGCATTTTGGACGGAAACATTGTTCCCAAACTTCTCCGAGTCAGCCAAGTCTAAGTATCGATTCATTGCGGTTGATCTGCTTGGTTTTGGAAGGAGCCCTAAGCCAACGGATTCACTCTACACCCTGAGGGAACATGTGGAGATGATTGAGAGGTCGGTTCTGGAGCCACACAAGGTCAAGTCTTTCCACATCGTCGCCCATTCTTTGGGCTGCATCTTGGCTCTGGCACTCTCTGTCAAGCATCCTGCCTCCGTCAAATCCTTAACTCTTCTAGCACCCGTAAGTTTTATACGCTACTAGTATCCCAGTATATAAATCAAAATGATGCACATAAATCTCCAAGGAGTTCTACATGGTGGCTTTTATATCGAACTTTATACAGTTGATAGGATGATCCCATGCTTGATTATTATTATTATTAGCATTTTTTGGTTGTGTGTGTGGTCCACGAGCGTTTATTGGGGGAAAGAAAAGAAGAAGAAGAAGAAGAAGAAGAAGAAAGATTCACAGATTTTCAAAATAGATAGCATAATCTAGTGTTGTCAATTAATTTCTAGAACTAAGATTAAGCTTGCACTGATTCGTGGAATTTGACACAAATGGCAGCCATATTTTCCAGTACCCAGGGGAGTAGAAGCTAGTCAGTACATGATGAGAAGAGTAGCCCCTCGGCGAGTATGGCCACTGATGGCTTTTGGGGCCTCGATTGCTTTTGGTATGAGCATATTAGCCGAACCGTTTGCCTTCTCATCTGCAAAAACCACCGTCTCTGGGATTTTCTTACCAAATTACTTACCAGAAACAGGTTTGCGCCACTCTCCAACTCTCTCTCTCTTATGTATGCGTGTTCCTTACAACACACTATAGTAAGCTTCCGACCCACCAAAAAATTAGACCACTTCTTCTTCTAGTAATTTATTAGCAAAACACCTAAACAACAATTATTTATGAGCATTAAAATAATGGTACAACTTATTTCCAAAGACTTTGTGCTTTAAGGACAATGTAAGAATTTTTTTTTTTTTATAATTTTTTCGCTTCCACTCCTTTTTAGCTCCTGACTGTCAACTACAGAGTTTAAACGCTGAATTTAACAGCGAGAATGAGTATAATAATAAGAATATTAAAGAGTATTCTAATAAGTTTGACATGCTCTATTTATGAGTACAACGTTTCGACCGTCCACACTGGTCCCTTGCTACCACAACGTCCAAACAGACGTCAAGTTTTGGGCTACCTTGCTGATGTCTAAATCCGGTAAGTTTTCCCAACCTTTCCAAGAAGTCTGGGACCATTTCTTGACATTCGGAGAAAGATCTCTTCGCAAGCTTAGGATTAAGGGGTGCAAATGAGGCCGCTCGGGTCGGGTTTTGATTTAATCGAGTCTAGTTTTAATTTAGTTTTATGAAATTCGAACTCGGCAAGTTCTCAATGTAAGACTCGAGTTCGACTCGAATTTGAGTCTAGCTCAAGTTTAAAAAAATAAAAAAATAATCATTTTTTTAAAAAATAAATAAATAAAGTAATAAATTTTTAACAAATAGGAGTAATAAAATATTAGATATATATATGTAATTTTACTTTCAAAATAAAATAAATATATGTATAGATAATCCCGCTCGCGAGCTAATGAGTTAAATATTTTGAATTCGAGTTTGACTCAGTGAGTTTTAACTCGAATTCGAGCTGCTCGCAAGATGGCTCGATTCGTTCCTAACTCTACTTAGGATGCAGTGGTCTCTTCCAACGAGGGTAGAATCTGTACTTTAGTATTCCTCAGGTTTTAAGAACAAACAAAATTTTATCAAATCGTCCCGAAAATGTCCCAAATTTTATTCTGGTCTGCGTAATTTAATGCTAATTCTTATATCCGGCCTGTTAAAGGTATCAAAGTCGTAATATTTGGTCAAAATATGTTGGATTGGTCAGGTGAACTAAGCATATCCAAACTGAATTAAGATTAGTTGGACAATAAGGTTTTATGGCATACAAGACTAATGAATTGATTTCGTAAAGCCTCAATTTACTTCCATTTGAATGTAGATATTTGTCCAAACTCAGCAATCTGCCCCAAGAAGCCTTTGTTTTTTAAGGTAAATCCAAACACATTATTGATTTATGTTTTGCTGAATTTACCCCTAGACACTGAGTAAGCCTGTATTAGCGTCTCCTTAGTACACCACTAAGTATAAGCTGAATAGGAAAAAGAAGTTAATTGATTGAGGTTGAATTTGCAGTGGGAATTAACACAAACATCTATTTTTCTTTTTGACCAATAACAAGGATCATTTCGTTAGTAATTCGTCTAATACCGAGTTTGAACATGGTAGTATTCTCTGTTGAACACCAAAAGCCATCCATCATTCTATGCCTCAAACTTGCATATGTAAATCGATTGCCCGGATTCGTGACTTTTAACAAATACCTGTGAGAAACGTTCTGCCTTAGATAATGCAATTTTACCGCGTTACAAATATCATCCACAGGCTTTTGCCCAAGTTTGTGGGATGCAGTCGTTAATCAGTCAAATTACAGTTTCGTTCTTTTATTTTTTTCAAAAAGAAAAAAGAAATAATTCAAGATGAATAGCATTCTTAATATTTTTTGCAGGATCAGAACATATTTGATTGAGGGATTTTGCTGCCACACACACAATGCTGCGTGGCACACGCTGCACAATATTATTTGCGGGACTGCAGGGAAAATGGAAGGATATTTGGATGTGGTGAAGAACCGGCTGAAATGCGCGGTGACCGTAATTCACGGTCGAGATGATGAAGTCATCCCAGTTGAATGCAGCTACAATGTTCAATCCAGAGTGCCTCGAGCCCAAGTCAAAGTTGTAGAAAACAAAGATCACATCACCATTGTTGTTGGAAGGCAGAAAGCCTTTGCTCGAGAACTCGAGGAGATTTGGAAAATTTCAGGCCTTTAACAAACCCCAAATAACTTGTGGTCGTGGTCGTCGTTGTCGTGGTCGTGTCGTGATCGTGGAACGTGTGCGCCTCCGAAGAAAATATATCGCTTCTTAGCCAAATCATTGATGAAACTTTGGATAAATTGATTTGGCCAGTCTTCTACTCCTCTATTCATACCAAGAATGCTGCTGCATATATATACACATATACATGTACTGAAGTCTTAGAGAGGTAGGGTTAATTTGTGAACAATCAGCTATCATAATCGAGGAACGCAAGCAGCAATGCCTCGTCAGTCAATCGTGTTAGCTCGGTACTACACACCGCCCCTTTTCTATAAGAAGCAGACTTTAAGAGTTTCGACCATTCCATTTTAGTAAATTGTTTTGGACGATTGAAAGTTTAGGCCTTGCTTGGATTGAAGGTTTTCGTCCGAAAATATTATCGTTTTCCGTGATCACATTTCCCTATCACCTTTTTCCCTCACATATATCAAATCGCTACAGTAATTTTTCCATGAAAAATGACGGAAAATGCAATCCAAACACAACCTTAATTGTCGCCACTCACATGATGGGTTGAGAATTGATCATGTTCTTGATATTTACCAGCAATCGCATGGTTCACCTTCTGCTTTCTGAAATACTGCGTGCAGCATTCGCTAATTCATTTTGGGTATACAATGGAATACGCTATAATAAAGTATTAATGCTCAATTGGTTTTGAGATACAGAATCTGAACTTCCCTCTCATTAACAAACTGTTTGTAGTCGAGGTAATGAACTCATCCCAGTTGAATGCAGTTACGCTACTATTAACTGAACCTTTTAATAAATTCAGTAATACAAGTGCATGTTTTAAACATAAAAATCTATAAATTCTTTTTTTTTTTCCTTTTTATAAGTAAAAAGATCTGAATTCAAATTTACATAAATGCAAAGTAAAAGCCTTCTTTGAATTCAACAATAGTGAATCGTCCCATCCCAGTACATAGGTCACTGTATCTTTTTTTTTTTTTTTTTTGTCAACACAGGGGTGTCTCGCCCTTCAACCCGACTAATCTCTTGCGCTTGTGCATTCCACTCCCAAGGATATATAAGACGGCAGAAGGAGTCGAATCCAATCACACGGTGCCAGGATCTAATTAGACAATCTCAGCACCAACCGAACCAACCTCGATGGGCACTTAGGGCACTGTATCTGGAAACTTTAGGCCTTGTTTGAACAGCTATTTTTCACCGAAAAATTACGTTATTTTTCATGATCATATTTTCGTATTATCTTTTTTTTTCACATATATTAAATCGTTACGTTACAATTTTCACGCCCGGTGGGCTATGGTCCTGAAGTGCGTTAATAGGCCACTTTGGGATTCCATGGCCACAAAACGGGGACGGGGATGGCAGTTGGCCGAGGACTTTACGTACTACGTGTCATCTCGCAGCATATGTTGTTGGTTTGTTGGCGCTCATCCAAATTCTGAAGGCCTTTTTTCCTCCTGAGAATCCATTGAATTGACAGCCAACAACATTAGCTTCTCTAACATTTATGATCATTAATGCAGCCATTTCTGTTTGTAATTATATATTTCCGGTTTCCTTTTTTTTTTTTGGGGGATGCTGTAGTGTAGTGGTACAAACGTATACTGTACTTTCCATATGTCGATATTAATTTTGCCTTTTTCACTCACTTTTAAAGTTGTCCCTTCTAAGATCTACAATCAGATGGAAAGCACAAGGTAAAGAGAACCAATGACTTGATTTTATGCAACATCATCTACCCCCAACAATTTTTTGGGAGAAGATAGAACATATAAGCATTCCCATAACAATCAGACAAATCATTACATGAGTCCGGACTTGAAAAAGTTGAACAGACCTCGATTCCACTCCCAAGTTTGTGGTCGGAAAACAGAAAAAAAAGGTCTTGGGAAGTGTAGGACAAGTTTGGATTATTAAAACAGTTTGGTCTGGCATTTATTCGTTTCACTGCTCAAATGATAACTTTCACTCATCTGTTGGCCAACCTGCGGAAGCCACTGTGCCACATTGATCGAAATATTTACTTCCTATCCATGTCCGCACATTTTGATCGCTTAGCTATTCATTCCATAGCTATTAAACCCGGCCCAATTCGACGGTTGAACCGGTCAAACTGATGAACTGAACATTGGATCGGGCTAGGTTTTAAATTAGATCATTTAAGCAATCAAATCGTTGACTAGTCAACGGACCAGCGGTTCAACCGGATGAAAGCGAAAACTCGGCCGATTTTGTCTAGAAACCGGATTTCGCATAAAAATTTTATTCCTTTGCTAGAACTCGAACCTTGGACCTTTGGGCCTTGCTAGAACTCAAACCTTGGACCTTTGGTCCTTTTAGCTATTCATTCCATAGCTATTAAACCCGGCCCGATTCGACGATTGAACCGGTCAAACTGATGAACCGAACATTGGATCGGGCTAGGTTTTAAATTAGATCATTTAAACAATCAAATCGTTAACTAGTCAACGGACCAGCGGTTCAACCGAATGAAACCGAAAACTCGGCCGGTTTTGTCTAGAAACCGAATTTCGAATAAAAATTTTATTCCTTTGCTAGAACTCGAACCTTGGACCTTTGGGCCTTGCTAGAACTCAAACCTTGGACCTTTGGTCCTTGTAGCAAGGCGCATACCACCAAGCTACTTCACCATTTGTTGATTGAGTAGCTTACTTATAATATATAAACGTTTTGTCAACTTTATCTTTTTTTTATTTCTTTGGAATCTTTTAATAAAAATTTATGACCCCAAACTTTATAAGTTATAAAATGGACTTAAAAAATGACATATTACATAATTCATTTTAAAGATAAATATTATTTTTAATAATTTTTTGCACTTAAAATTTATAAATAAGTTAGATAATTACACTAAATATAGATAAAATTTTATACTTGAAGTTTGGTATATTACTAAATAACTTAATATTTTATTGAATCTTATATGAATTAATTATTTTATAGCAAATTAAATTATATGAGCATTTGTTATGTCATTATTTATTATAATTTATATCATATATCTTATATCAAAAATTATGAAATATAATATTTAAATATAATTAGTGACCTACCGGTTCAACCACTCACCCACTGGTTGAACCAGTAACTTATTGACCCACCTCGTTCGCCGGGTTCTCTCTCGGGTTGGGTTTAATAACTATGATTCATTCCCACCCCCCTCAATAGGAAGAATCTAACAATTTTCCTTGTTGTCGGACTGTAGGATTAGAAGAATTGTGCCAAAATTCCAAAGGTTAAAGTTCAATTAAGACCCTCTTATTTAGATATGACAACTACTCTTTTCTTTTTAATTTTCTTGTTGCTGTGGGGGAGAGATTTTGTAGGGATTGACATGACACATTGCCCTAAATTGGCCGCGCGAAATTAACAGTACTCTGATCGTCAACATCCATAATGCTAAAGTTTGGACAAAAATAAATATAATTTCAAATATTTCAATTTATAAGGGCACTTAATTCCATTAATCGATTTTTGAAATTTAGTCACATATTGTCACATGCTGGCAATTAATTTCTTGAAAACATTTTAAAAATGGAAAAAAATTTCTTCCCCATATGCTGTAATAAAACACAAATAATTATTCACATGCTGGAGCGATTAGTTTTTAGCCACAATACAATATTTAGTTGCCAAAAAAAAAAAATTTTTCAGGGCAGGATATGGGTAATTAGTCATCTTTTATTAAAATTATTGCTAACAAATATTATTTTATCCGTTTCTTCAAACTTTTTTAAACGATTAGTTGTCGGCATGTGATATTACTCCGATAGTCACTGATAGAAGTCAATCAATTAGACTACGCGTGCTTAGAAATTAAAACATTTTCGGATTACATTTGCTTTTATCTAAACTTTAGGGACTAGTACAACCAAATTACACTTCTCTCAAGAAACTTATACTACTGTGAATTGAAGGGCAAAACTAAAATGTAGTCCATTTCAAACGCAAAATAGTAGACAAGTTACATATATTGGAGAGCCTAATTGGAATTAATGCAAATCTAAATGTTTATGTAACTCATAACTCATAGAAGAAGTAACTTGTCAAATTTATAAACCGACTTTCAGTTTAAGTTTGGCAACAGAATTATGAACTCAAAAAGGCAAAAAAAAAAAAGAAAAAAAATTGAATTCATCGGATGTCATTATATTGTCAGGTAGTAGTAAATATAGTGGAGTATTTGTTAAGCTACAGTACGCTACTTTGTTCAATCACACTAATAAGTTTTCCCCCATTGCACTCGCCCGCCCAGTGCATTTGCTTGCAGCTATATCTTTCGATTAAAATTTCTTAATCATAAGAACCTTAAATTTCAACAAAGCTGGAAAAAAGAATTTATCGGCAACTAATTATTAGTAAATTATAATCCCTCATTCAACAAAAGTCTCTCACTATGAGAGCTTCTTTCTCTCTATTCTAGAGAGAGAAATCTCCCTCCTATGGGAGTCGTGCCTTTTCTAACAATATCTCAAATTCCGAATCCCAAAATAACAGATCTCTTTCAACAAATCTTTTTCCATTTTTAGCTTTCATTCCAAATTAAGCATTTCTGCTAAGTATATCAATCTATCCTAGAATAACTTAAACTTTCACAGCTGATAGCCATATAATCCATCAAATAAAGTTCGCGGGAAGTGTTGTCATGTGTTTGCCGTTGAGTTTTTTCTGTCCTTTTTTCTGTTTTCTGCTTTTCTAGTTTGTCTGGTGCTCTTGCAGGTTGTTCATACTAGTTCGTTGATCTAGGGGCGTAGCTGAGTGGTCAAGGAGACGAAGTTTGGGAAGCTGGAATACGGTGACGATTTCTGGAGCTGAACTGGTGCTGCAACAATCTGGATCTGGAGGTAGTATAGACTGTGGGATCAGTGAGGATGGAACACATAGAAGAGGTAATGAGGAAATTCACCTTATCTGAGAGCGAGAGGGAGGGCGTTTGTTTGGGAAAAGAGGAATTGGAAAAGGGAATTAAGGAGTGTAGATTGAGTTTAATAGGGAGAGTTTGGGGGAAAGAGCAGCTAACATTACTGGTATGAGAAGTTTTGCCAGCAATGTGTGGCCTCAATTGAGAAATGTAAAAATTACTGAGATCAAGGTCAATATGTTCTAGTTTGTATTTGAATCTAGAAAGGATATTGAACTGGTGCTTAGCAAAAGACCTTGGATCTATGATGGCCAGCCTCTGGTATTATTGGAATGGCAGGCAGATCTGGAGGAGGCGGAGTCAGCGTTCAATAGGACTTTACTGTGGGTTCAGATTTGGAACTTACCTCTTCATTGGGTTACTAAGGAGGCTAGGCGTAAAATAGGTGAAATATTTGTAGGTGTTAGAGAGGTCATTATTCCTCAGGGAAGAGGTAAGGAAAGTAAGCATCTCAAAATCCTAGCTGAAATGAATTTTAGAGAGCCTCTGCCTAGAGGTACTGTGGTGAAAAGTAATGTAGGGACTAGATGGATTGAGTTTACGTATAAGAAGTGTCCAGATTTTTGCTTCTGTTGTGGACGGGTAGGACATAATGAGAGGATCTGTTCTAGGAATGGGATAAATATTGATAGGAGAACCAGTATGCCAATTGGCTTCGAGTTAGTTTCCCTGGGAGTCCAAGGAAGAAAGGCAGGAATGAAGGGGAGTAGGAACATCAGGGAAAGGGGGGTTCAGGGATCAAATTTCAGATGAGGAAGCTAGGACTCAGCAGTACCCATTACTGACCTATACAAAGAAGTTCCATAGGAGGAAAGGGAAGACTGAGATCCCATCCAAGAGGATGGAGAGCCAGGGTATAGTAACAAGGGGGGCAAAAGGAAGAGTGGGAGGGGAAGCAGGAGGGTGAGAGGAGCATAAAGTATGGGAAGGAGGGCAAGAGTGCATCCATGGGGGCCAGGTTTGAGAAGAGGTAAAAGAAATAACAAAAGTGGAGAATGGAGAAGACCTGCTGATGCTCAAGGCAGTAGAAGCGGTGAGTGTGAGAGAGGGAGAAAGTAGTAAGGACAAGATGTGGATTGATGTTGAGAGCAACAACAGTGTGCAAAAGGAAATGAATGGAAAGGAGAGGGAAGAGGGAGTGAAAGAAGTTCATCAGGAAGGCCAGGGGCATAAAACTAGTACAAGGAAGTATAGGGTTAGTAAGACCTGGAAATGACTGGTACAGGAGGTGGGAATAAGGAAGCATCTGGCTGAGATGGAAACAATGCAGAATGGCCAGGAAATAGGAAAAAGAAAAAAGGAAGTAAGTGGGAGTGAGCTAGCAGGGAATCTGAGGGAGATAGAGTGTAAAAAGAAAGCCAGATTGGTTGATGGGGTCGAAGATGTGGTGATTGTGACGGCCCCACCTTTCCCTAGGGCGTACCCCAGGGTTCGGCGGGTCGCCTGCCCAGCTCTCGCCGGGACTCAGTCGTTCACTACAGTCCTCAAATGAATTACAAGAATAAACATCAAATATTACAATATAAATCTCCAATATTTACATGTCATAAGCGAAGCGGAAACAATTCTCAACTATACATAAAATGATTCCAAGTCCAAATTATACAAGATATATGCCATCCAGTCACGTGAACAAGTACTACAAGTCCTTCCTTCGCCACGAGCCCTGTGGAGGGGAATAAAATAGTTTTTGGGGTGAGCTAAAAGCTCAGCGAGTAACCAGAAAATCATTAATCAAATCGGTTTCACAATAGTTCATTTCAATGATGTCATAAGTTAAATGATAAATCCGGAAACAACTACATCATTTGCAAAACAGTAAATATGGATTATCCATAATTCAAGAAACATTTACAATGGAAAACGATAGTAACATTCATGAAAGGATACATTCATTCTCCTGACATTTCCTCGCTCATTTGGTCATTCATTTCATTTCATTCACCCCGTCCCTGGCTTTTGGCCAGGCTCCACCAACCTACATAGGTAATACTCGAGTATACCAAACGTTCACCCAAGTTCCTAATCGCCTGACCGAGTCCGCTTCTGGCTCAAGACGACCGGTAACAAGGGGCAATGGCCAGTTCAGCCCAAAAGGCTTACATTCATGCGCAAGTAACATTTCAATCGAAAATTTCACATTTATCGAGGTCGAGTGCGATAAAGTACACACTCGCCTCGAAAACTCGTTTTGGAAATCATTATAAGCGCTTAACACATTATCAACCAAAATACAAGTCATGAAGTCAAGAAATATAGCAAACAAGGCACACTCAAATGCCAGCACACATGATATGCAAGAAAACATTTCAAAAGTAACTTTGGAAACAGTTCAAAAGTAAATAATGTAAGAAACGGTTCATAAATAACTTTAGAAGTAGTTTGAGGTCACTCACCTCCACGGCTCAGAACCCATCCGTCATATACCATTATCTTGTCCGAATCCAAGTCCTAAACCCAAAAACAGATTTGATATCATTTAGCGGTTTTGGCACCATTGGCACTACGATTATCGGATGGAGGTATAAGATACACCGTTCCGAAGCTAAGAGATAGGGCTACAATATTGCAGAAGGTTACTCAGTCCAGTTCATAGCACAACTAGGTCAAAAATGCAAGATACTAGACCAGAACCGCAGAAACAGGTGGACAAACCACATTCTGGTTAACGAACTATAATTCAGGCTACCTAAGTCCAAATCAAGTGATTCCAAAGCCATCCGAAAGCTAAGAGTCCAGGGTACATTTCTTATGAAGACCTCCAAGGCCAAATCATGTATTTTCATGATCAAAAATGGAAAACTACACGAAAACTGAATTCTGGGTGCGAAACAGGTTTCATAGACAGTCAAGGTTATTTCGGTCATTTCACATGCTACAGTGATCGGATCAAGCTGAAATTTTGCAGGAAAGTAGTTTATACCATTGGTTACAACTTTCATGTTTTGGACCAAATCGAATTCAGTAAGGATCATGGTGAAAAGTCACAGTCAAACTGGGTAAAAAGGCAACCCTGTTCGCAGAACCCTTTCCTGGACCAGTCTAGGTATTTCCGACGTATCTCAGCATATACAACTCCAATTCAAGTGATTCCAAAGCCATTTGAAAGCTAAGATACAAGACTATAATTCTTAAGAAGACATCAACAACCAAATCGGTAGTATTCCCAGTCAAACTACCCAATTACCAAAGCTGAATACTATTCTCGGATAGAAACAGGGTAGCAGGGGTATTTCGGTCTTTTCATAGGCTACCGAGCTCAGATTGAGCTGAAAATTTATAGGCAACTAGAAAACATCATTCTCTACAACTTTCATGTTTTATGCCAAGCCAAATTCGGCCTCTAACTAGGTGATACAGAAACGGGCAGAACTGAATTTTCAAGTTCCTGAAATCTGGAAATTCTTGAAATCAAATGCTAATTTCTTTATTTTTGGCTTGCTTCACCATCTTAACTTCCCATATTAAACTTTAAACATCAAAGCCCCAAATTGTAAGCACTAGAAGAATCATAGGGAAACTGTAAAAATTCCAATAAAATGGAAAAACATGATCCAAGCCTCTATTTCACCACATACATCAATAATTCAACCATATGTGACATATTTAGCAACTAATCACGCATTTAATCGGAGAATCAAGGTTCTAGCATGTATACCTTTCCAAGGAAACTAGAAACAAGTGTTCAAGGCCTTTGTTCTTCAAGAAAATTACACCGGTAGGTAGCCTTTGTGCTAGATAACAACTTAATCGGAGTAGATTTGCGCGAATAGAAGAAACTTTTCAAGATTTGGAGAAGAACAAGATGAACTCTCTTTGTCTTTCTCTCTCTCTCTAATTTCGGTTATGGGGCAGAAAAATGAAGAAGAAAGGCTGTTCTTAAGGAGTTAAGAAGACAAGAGATTAGGATTAATCTAAACCACAAGTTTGGCCAACACTTGGTTTAATTACAACCACAAGAATTTCTCTTTCTTCTCCTTGCATTTTGGCCACAAATTTTGGTCAAGAAGTCATCATGAGAGAGGAGATATTTTGCTCAAATATCAATAAACTTATATGGTAAGAAAGTGGTGGTCAATTGGTGCGTTTAATCGGTAATGCGCGGACCCGCCGGTTTGCGCCGTTTCTTAAAAACTCACGTACTAGGGTTTTTACTTCCCATTCACTAACCTTATATCATTGCCCCTATTCACATATTATTTCTCACTTAAAATTCACTTTTAATCACCAAATTTAATCCTTGTTCAGTACCGAAAATTCATCCGGCGGAAAAACGCGAAAACCCTAATTTGCTCCAATCTTGAAAACGAAGAGTGAAACCCTACTTTCTAGGTTTATTTGCACCTATTGTAGAGTGATTGGGTTGTATAGCCATAGTAATTGAATAATTTCCAGATAAAAGGCATTTTTAAGAAAACGTGAGGAATTTTACAATTCCAGTAATTAAAATTAGGGTTTTCCATCAAAATATAAGATATTTGAGAAAAGCAATTAGTCACAAGTAGATTAAGGTTTTCGATTAAAATTTAGGGTTTCTAGTCTTTTGGAACAAAATAAGGTTTTAAATCAAAGCCAAAGAAATGCACTTTAGTATTTTCTTTACAAATAAACTCCTAATATTCGGATGTCACAGTGATGTTGTCTAAAGTGGTGGAGCCCTCCCTAAATTGGGCTCCCACACCTCAATGAGAGCTTTGGTGTGGAACTGTCGAGGTGTGGAGAGCCTCTTGATAGTTCCCCAACTTAAGGAACTTGTATAAGTCTACTCTCCATCTCTGATTTTCTTATCAGAGACAAAAAAGAAGTAGAGCTTCATAAATAATGTTAAGTAGTGGGTGAAGTTTGATGACCTGTTTGTAGTAGATCTTGTGGAGATTGCAGGGGGTCTAGCTGTGATCTGGAAGATGGATATACAGGTGAAAAGCATTTTATTCACTAGCTTTACTATAGAGTTATTGATAGGGGACCATAGAGATAGTAAAGATTGGTGGTATGTGTGTGTTTATGTCAGTACGGATGATAAAATTAGGGAGCAGTAATGCAAGGTGTTAGAGAGAAGAATTCAAAATTGGGGTGACTGCTGGGCTCTAATAGGAGACCTGAATGATATTACTTCTAATGGAGAAAAATGAGGAGGTAGAATCAGACCTGTTAGTAGCTTTCAGAATTTCAATGGTTTCATTAATAGGACTGCCTTGATAGATATAGGCTTTGAGGAAGTGCCTTAAACCTAGTGTAACAACCGGGACAAGGAAGGAGAGATTAAGGAAAGAATAGATAGAGTGTTGGGGACGAAGCAATGGTGTGGAAATATTGAAAAAGCTAGAGTTACTCATGTGGAAACAGAAGTTTCTGACCACTGTGCCTTGGTCCTAGATCTAACCCCTGTAGAAACATCAAGGAAGAGGAGATTTACTTTTGACAGTAGATGAATCATGCAGGAAGGTGTTGGGGAGGTGATTCAGGAAGCTTGGGGGATAGATCAGCAGGGGTCAAGATTGTACAAGGCACAAAGAAAAATTAGGCAAGTTCGTATGAATCTGTTGCATTGAAGCAAAAAACTGAATTTGAACTCAAAAAAACAAATAGAGCAGATCAAAAAGGAAATTAAAAAGGTGAATGAGAGCCAAGGAAGAGAGGACAGAACAAAAATTATAGGATTAAAGAGGAAATTGGTGGAGGCTTACAAGAGGAAGGAGGTCTACTGGAGTCAGAAGGCAAGGATTAAATGGCTTCAGGAGGGGGACAAAAACACCAGCTTCTTCCATGCCAGTGTGATGAGTAGGAGGAAACAGAATAGGATTAATGGACTGAAAAGGAGAAGTAGGAAGTGGTGCAGGAATGAGGAGGAGATCAGGAAGGAAATTGTAGACTATTTCCAGCATTTGTTCACGTCCGATAATCCAACTGATTTCAGTACCATTTTGGAAGAAATCCCATAGACTATTACTGCTGAAATGAACAGAAAGTTGACAAGACCAGTCTCAGATCAGGAAATCAGTCAGGCAGTGAATTCCATGCATCCAAACAAGTCTCCTAGACCAGATGGTATGTTCCCTATCTTTTTTCAAAAGTTTTGGCATGTTATAAAAAATGATGTTATTAGTGCTATTCAAAGTTTCTTTCACTCTGGTCATATTTTGAAATCCATAAATGAGACCCTGATCAGTCTAATCCCTAAGACTGATTCCCCAAACCTGATCACAGAATTTAGACCTATAAGCTTGTGTAATGTCATTTACAAGATCATTTCCAAGGTCTTAGTCAACAGATTTAAAACTGTGCTAGATTGTTGCATTAGTTCTTCACAGTCTGCATTTGTGTCTGGTAGACAGATTCTGGATAATGTCCTAATTGCGCACGAAAGTATTCATTTTCTAAATAATAAAAGAACTAGAAATGATGGTTATATGGCTATCAAGTTTGATATGTCTAAGACTTATAATAGGGTAGAATAGGTGTTCTTGGCAAAAATGATGCAAAAAATGGGATTCTGCCAAACATGGATCCAATAGATTTTAGAATGTGGGAAAAAAGGGGTTTATCAAGCTTACTAGAGGTTTAAGACAGGGAGATTCTTTATACCCCTACTTATTCCTGATTTGTGCAGAAGGTTTGTCTGCTATACTAAGGAGAGCTAATAGACAGGGTAGCATGTATGGAATAAAGATTGCTAATGAAGCTCCTAGTTTGTCTCACCTCTTATTTACAGATGATTTGCTAATTTTCTGTAGAGCTAAGGTGGGTGAGGCTGTGCAGCTGATGAAGGTTCTGGAAGACTATGGAAGAGCATCAGAACAGCTGATAAACAAGGATAAGTCCTCTATCTTTTTTAGTAAAAATGTCAAAGGAAGGAAAAATGAAGAGGTACTTAAAGAGCTGGAAGGTATGAGAGAGGTCCATCAGAGCAAATACTTAAGATTTCCTATGATCATAAGAAGATCAAAGAGACAGGTATTTGAGTTCATTAGGCAGAAAACAGTAAAAAAAACTTGGAGGTTGGAAGGAAAAACTCCTGAGCCAAGCAGGCAAGGAGATTCTATTGAAGTCTGTCATCCTAGCTCTTCCAGCACATGTTATGTCTTGCTACAAGGTACCAAAGACATTGTGTAAAAATGTATGTTCAGAGATAGCCAAGTTCTGGTGGGGACAGAGGGAGAATGAAAAGAACTTTCATTGGATTAAATAGAGTAGAATGACTGATGTTAAAGCTGAAGGTGGATTGGGATTTAAGGATTTACAGGATTTTAATTTGGCATTACTAGGGAAGCAATTATGGAGAATTTTGATGCAACCAAACTTGCTGATGAGTAGAGTAATGAAAGCCAAGTACTTTGCTGGGAAGTCCATATGGGATGCACAACAAAGAGAATCAGATTCATGGTGCTGGAAGAGTCTACTAAGTGCAAGAGGAGTACTGGACGAAGGATTAAGAAGGAGGGTGGGGATGGTAAGTCAATTAAAATCTAGGAGGACAAGTGGCTGCTAGGGACAGAGGATGGGAAAGTAAGGTCTCAGAAAGAAATTGGCAGCGAGCTTCAGAGGGTAAGTGAACTGCTCAAGGATGGTAAATGGGATAAAGAGGTGCTGATGCAGGAATTTGAGGAGGAAGATAGGTGGCATATACTGAAGATACCGCTGAGCTTGAGGAAGGTCAAGGATAGGCTCTATTGAGCAAAGTCAAATTCGGGTGTATATACTATCAAGACTGGCTACAAGCTGATAAAGGAAATGAAGAAAGGACTGTGTCAGTTTAGAGGAACTTTAGAACCAAGAAATAGCAGGAGGATTAAGTCTCAAAACTGGAGGTTTCTATGGGATTTGAACATGCCAAACAAGCTTAAACACTTCATCTGGAAATGCTTACAAGGCATACTGCCAACTAATACAGTGGTAAAGGGGAAGTGTGGTAAGGGGGACCATGTGTGTAAGTGTTGCGGAGACAGCTCTGAGACATTAGAACACATGTTTTTTTGTGTAGTCATGCTAAAGCAATTTGGAAGGTGGCACCATTGAAATGGGATGGACTGAAAGTGTTTAGGAACAATTTTTGGCATTGGTGGGAAAACTTAGAGGGGCTGTGGCTCGAGAGAAGGGGAGGGAGCACATAACTCTCACGGCAAACCTTTTGTGGCAGATTTGGAAAGCTAGGAATGACAAACAGTTCAACAAAATGAGTAATGAGCCTATAATGGTGGTCAATAAAGCACTGATGGAATGGAATGAATATCACTTGGCATAAGAGAGGGGGCCAAGACATGAAAACCTGGCAGATGGAGAACAGGAAAGGGATAGGAAATGGGAAAAAGCTCAAGTTGACTGGATCAAAATCAACACTGATGCAGTTCTAGACCAAAAAATAACAAAGCAGGGTGGGGTATAGTGGCAAGGGATGGTTCAGGGGAATTGGTAGGCTAATGGGCGAGGCCAACTGAAGGTTGTGCTGAGGCACAAGTGGAGGAAGCCTTGGCGCTAAGAGAAGCAATGGTAATAGCTAAACGTATGGGATGGAGGAAAGTGGAGCTGGAATCGGACTGTAAGCTAGTAGTGAACAAAATCAAGGCAAGGGAGGAGGAAGTCAGCATAGGCATTATCCAGATGGATATTTGGAGACTGATACAAAATTTTGACAAATGTTATTTCTCCCACACTAAAAGGAGCAACAACTCTGTAAGTCACAAGTTAGCAAAATTTGCTATAAAATTGATTGATTCAGCTGAACGGAAGTATAGCTTCCCAGCATGGCTGCTAGAGTTAGTTCAAGCAGATGTACAGGAGCAGTTGCTCTGACTTTGTATCTTTTGATGCTTAAATACCATGTTATCGTTTGGAAAAAAAAATTTGACAGGTGCCGAACCTGTGCAATAATAATTACTAAAAAGTCCTAATTACCACATCAATTAAATAATTATAGAACAAATCCAAGTACTGGAGCAGGGACCCTAGGTGTGCAATGGGTTACTTGATTCACCCTGTTCCCGAAGAGTTTGCTTGATCCGATATACCGGATTTATCTATAAAAATACTAATTTTGCGTACAATGGCAAGTAGGGTCGATTCCACAGGGAGCAGGTAGGAAATTATTTCTTTTCAAATTAGTAGAACGAAATTGGGGGATTTTCAATAAGAGGCAAATAAAAATAAAATAAAATAAAACAAACAAAATTCAAAACTAACTCACAAAGCACAATTCACTAGAAATAGCAATTAATAAAAGTTCTACCCAAAGGATCAACTGCTCAGGCACGGTCCAATTAAATGCTCATCGATGCAAAGATATTTCATCCATTTATCACTAGGTTGGTTATAGCCATCAATAAGCTCTGACAACCAGCTCTTCCGTACTTTTCCGACAGTCAAGGTACGACCATTAACTGCTTCCCTAACCAGATAACAACCCTAGGTACGACCATAGGAATTTAATTACCCAATTGCATTAAAGCTAGAAGAACCCAACCCTAACCAATAAACACGCTAAGAGGGTTTATTTAAATTAGATCTTGCGTTTCCCCATCATAAAGCCAATTATGGTGGTCGCCACGGGGTGCTAACTAAATGAACAATTACGGATTCTATTTAATTAACGTGGCAGTAGGCTATTAAATTAAATCAAATACCCGGCCGTTGATATTCGATTAATCAAATACCCATGAACAATTAATTCAGGAAACGCACGAATAGCAATAAAATGGAAGAAATAATGAAATTCGATTAGATCTCACAGATATTATGGACGCGCGCCTTTGCGTCAACCTTTGGGTAGAGGAGGAAATTAGCCGCTCCTCATCGTGTCAATCTTGCGCGAATTAATTAATTTCATCCACGCAGACATCAAAGAATCTGGAACAGTGAAGTACGAAGAAAGAAAAAAGAAAGCGTCTTCCTTATCTCTGCGTTGGCAATCGTACTGAATCCCCAAATTCAATGCCAAAAGCCCCCACGAATTGTACAGATCCGAAGACTCAAGTGAGAGAGTCAAAAACGTGAAAGCCAAAAAGCAAGAGAAGAGTCTCCAACGTCTGACGGCTAGGGAAAAGAAAACTAAAGCCTAAAATAGATGATGCATCTTGCTTTGTCTTTTTTTCTCTTTATAGCCGCCGCAATTCCAAGGAGTCCAAAAGCCAAGAAACGTCTGGTGCAAATCAATCTGCAAAAGCCATTTCCCCCTTTGAGTTTTGATCCCATGTGCCTGGTCCACATGGACCACGGTCCGTCTTTCGGTTTCGTCCACCTTCCAAGGCGTGGCCACGCTCTGAAATGAAAAGTCTTCTGGAAATTTTTCCCCGCGATATCATTTTAATGCTAACCACCTACAATTCGCACAAATGTCAAATATGAGTGAAATCCCCTTTCTTAACACCATGAATGGCCAAAATTAGGACAAGATGACAATGCAAAACGTGCCAAATAACGGCTCTATCAAAATTTATTAGTAAATTATCCACAGCAGGGAGTCAGTCCCGTAGTTGGTTCGGTTATTTGTAGGTAGAGGCAGAGGAGCTCTCTAATTTTGAATTTTCTGCACTCATAAAATTGATGACTATCTCGTTCCAATTTGCGTGCTTGCCAACCTCAACTTATTTTTTATTTGAGATTTTGTCATGCCACCCAGGCCCACCTTCGCTATTTGGGTCTTCTGCATCTGCAACATGTTCGGGCTAGGACCTGACTTTTTACTGAGTTTGTTTCCTTGTCTCGCGGGACATTTTTTCGTCACTGCTCGTCCAAGCCAACAGAGGTCATCTAAGCCCAACTTTCTGAATGGATCTAATACCTGGGGGCTGGGGGTAGATGAAACTAAACCTACTTTGATACAAAACTATCTCCAACATTTTGTTGCCTTGCCCCACTTCCCCTCCAATTAACATGTGTATTACTATCACTTTTGAAACATCAATTAAGGAATTTTCTTTGTAAAATTGTCATATAGGCATCTAGCATGTGATGTAAAATAGATCAATATTAATCTTAGTATACAATAAGGATTTCTTTAACTTTTATATATCAACTAGGGCATCTCCTTCAAATTTTTTTTTTTTTGGGAAAATGTCCTACACCAATCCAATTCTTAGTTGTTTTACAGTAATAAATGGGATCGGTATCATTTCAATATTAGTATATGATTAGTTCATATAACTTTTAAATAGCAACTAAGAAAATAATACTTAATTTCTTTATTAGATGTGATTGTTAAAACTTTAAAATAGTAATCAAAAGAAACACTATACCAACAGGAAAAGAAAATGACAAATAAAAGGAACCAAAGACAAGCAAAAAAAAAAAAATGAAAAAAATCAACCACGGATACAATTTTATTAGTACTAAATTGACTCGGACTAAAATGATAGGAATATTTGTCAAAAATAAACACTAAAAGTTTTGCCTTTTGATTTTTTTAATCAAGTATCGATCTTTCTTAACTTCAAGAAACCTATTTTAAGGATTGATACTTCACCAAACTCCACTTTCTGAAGGCAAGTGATTTTTTTTCTTTAGAATTTCTTCTGTTATAGTTTAAACTTTAGTTATTGATTATTCACATAAATATTATTATTCAAGTTTATAATATAAACTTTATAATGAATATTAATTTGTACTGCGTTTGACTGTTTGTCCCTCCTAAATTAAAATCCTAGTTCCGCACCTGCCTTTAGCAAGGCTCAGACAATTACGCCAATTCAGAATTCAGAGAGATCAACAAAAATACATACTACAGTCATCAATTGCCACCATTGCTTCCTCGCATGCCCTCCAGAGGTAGAAGAAGAAGAAGAAGAAACTACAATCATATACTGACAACACTGTCTATGACCTTGGTGTCAAATCAGCACGTTATTCTCCTAAGAATCAATAAGCTCAAGAATTAATCTTCAAAATCAATGAAGCAATGAAAGCTAGCAACATCTCTCCCTTCATTAAGTTGGCGGAGTTGGAAAATTGCGATTGTGAATCAAAATATGAGATGATTAGCCATGTTGACTTCATCGAAGGAAATCAGGATTCAACCACCGCTAGCTGGTTGCAAACCCTCAAAGTCTTGCTAGCTCTTGTGTTATTTTTTCGCTTTCATACACACCAACATCAATCAAAGGATGATCATGTGGGCAACCGAGAAGAGAAGAGCGAGGGGTAAGACTTGGTAGGGAAAATGTTTAGCCAAAGAGGTCGGGGCAAGAAAAACATGCGTACGAATCGGGAAGTTGATGAATATTCGTCAAGTACTTGATCTCCGATTTGAACTAATCATAGTTAAAAAATCATCTCTATAAATTAGTAGGATATCTCGTATTCAATATATATATATATATATATATATATATATGTCAGGCCCTATTATAGCAAAATATTCTAGATTTTCAATTAGGAATAGAAGAGGATAGTTACACTACCTAAGCTCTTGATTTTATTAAGCATCTTTATTTTTTTCGATGAAAAATGAGAAGACATTTGGTTGCAAAGATGGTGCTCTTGATCTCTCCCACAACTTAAAGCTGAATCGCGCAAATCCAAAATGTATGTTATCTTTCGAAAACGAAGATTGCCAAAGAGAAACATATGTAATCAGCAATGCAGATGATCTAGGTTATTTTGCTCGATCGCATAGATACTTACTTGTATATATAGTGCGTAATCAAAACTTTGGCATGCATGCGGTGTAAGTGATGTTGTGAGTGTTCGTGAGCGTAGCGTAGGAGCTGATGATTGCAAGAAAGCTGTAACGTTCACTTTCTCCGAATAGGTTTCCTCCACACAATCAAATCATTCGTCCATGCCCGGCCGCTTTGATTCACTCATTCATACATGTAATTTTTCAAGCCCATGTAAACGTACAAAGTACTACTCTATTTTGAAAAACTAGGCCGTATTCTATCTCGTACAGTTATATGTAATTAGGAAGTAGGAAACAAACTGTACGTGAGGATGGCCATCCGGCTCGGCCATACCGAGCTAAATCCTTTATTATTTGGGACGGGTCGCTACCAGTTTTGGTCATCTCGGCTAGACATCGCATGCGGATAGCCGAGATGACTCCCACATCAACTGATGCCTCGGATTTGTGCACGGCATGACACGACATCCGAGGTCTTATCGGAGAATCTGACACCTACATGGCGGATAAGAATCTGACGGGATCTATCTACTGCTCTGTACGTCCGTCAAAATCAGATTGGACCGCTCAATCCCTGCCAGGTCCTAGGGAGTTGGAGCCCACTATTCTTCCTTCAACTTATCTCCCTATAAATACCACTCCCCCTCATTCGGGAAAAAGGGAGAGAAAGAAAGATAGTAAGAACTCTACTGTTTTTCATTCCCATTATTCATTTTTCACAAAAACTTAATCATCGGAGGTATTATGAAGGAGAAGGCCCGATCTAATGCATATCAGGAAAGTATAGCACAAAGGCACTTCGTTCAAGAAGAGGACGTATTTGGTTAGCTAGACTTGACCGTCCAAAAGTAACCTCTACAGTACGTTTACTGAGTTGAAAGGTACACCAAGATTGTTGGAGTTTAGTTGAAAAAACAAGATCTTACTAACTAAAACAATACCAAGCCTAGCACATCTTCTTAACTTATGAATAAGAGAGTTGTTTAAGCACCAATTTTAAGCTTTCAAGTATGTTCTTAGCTATTTTTCATATCTACTAGTACTACTATGTGTTTTTTTTTTTTTTGGTTTTTAAGAATAAGGTGGTAGAATATATATATATATATATATATAATATATATATATATATATATATATATATATATATATATATATATATATATATGTATGTATGTATATTTGTGGGTAGCATCTAATACAATATATTTTTTTATTATAGCATCGGTGTGACTGAAAATTTTCTTCCTTGTCATAATTTTCTAACAGACTATAATCTTTTTAAGATTTGTCATGTCACTTCTGACTATACATGATTGCTTGAAAAGGGGTGATAATTTAGATGATACTTGCAAATTTGCGTGAAAATGGACATTATTTATTATTTTTTTTATGTATATAAAGAGAAAGGTGCCTGATTGCTTGATAGAAAGAATACATATGATTGAATCTAGGTAGTGCATTTTACATTTCAATGATTGTGATATTAACGGTGAATATATAAGAAGTCAATTTTTCGAAACTTCTAATAGCAACCACGGAGGACCTTAATATTGTAAAACTTGAATCGGAATTATAGGGCACAATCACCGAAATTAAAACCGTCAATGAAAAGAGAAGAGCTAAGTCGTTCTTTTTCTTTTTTGAATAGGAAAAATTAATTAGTGTAGCATATCTCTTTTTAACATATTTAATACGACAAAGTAGTTTTGCTGCATGAGTTAATTTTTAGGGACAAAGAATTATGGGCCAAAGTCCGATGTTGAATGAAGCTGCAAAAGACATGAATCTCGGAATAGCTAATGTTGAACGAAGCTGCGAAAAGACGTGATTCTCGAAGAAGTTGAATTGAAAAGTTTGACCCTAACGGGCCATCCAAAGCATCGATCTGCTCGTGTTTCACTTCAAGAAAGTTGGCTCTTTAGTCATGATTGTGACCGGGCCATAGACATGCAGACACATTCACCTATGGGCGACTGGACGGCTTTCAAGTCCGCATATGAGACATTGAATCTAGCTGCCTGCTTGTTTTAATTTCCTTGCGAATGAAAAAACGTGCAACTTAATCGTTTCTGTATCATCATCTATATTCTGAAGCGGTTAATTCCACTTTGTCCCCCCAAACTCTGGACGATTACCCACTTCAATCCTTAAACTTCAAAATGGGACACTTAAGTCCCTAAACTTATAAATACCTCCCACTTCAGTCCCTAAACTTATAAATGGAACACTTAAATTTCTAAACCCTTATAAAATGAGACACTTCGACCACCAATGACATTCAGGATTTGTTAACAATTTTCCTCAAGTGGGAGGTACTTATAAATTTAGGGACTTAAGTGTCCAATTTTGAAGTTTAGGGACTGAAGTGGGTGGGTAATCATCCAAAGTTTAGGGGGACAAAGCGGAATTAACCCATATTCTGAACCTTAATTCTTCTCAAGAAACTAAAATGGAAAATAAACACAACCCAAACAAAAAAAAGGCAGTGCCGTCAGTAGCAGAGCTAAGAAACATATGAAGAGGGGGCGACTCTTGAATATTGAATATAAATACTTTAAAAATCTTAAAAAGGAATAGACATTAAATTTCTCTAGCTATAAGACGAAAGTAAAAAAAAAAAAAAAAAAAAAGGGAAGTAAAAAGTGCAATTTTAGTAGTTTTGATGCAGTTTTAATGCTTAAAATTTTGACAAATGCAAATTTGGTCTTCACAGTTTAGCGCAAGCGCGATTCTAATCTATAAACATTTGGAAAAGCAAATTTGGCAGCAAATTTCAAACAATTGACGATTTTTTCCAAATACCAACAAAATCAGTCACGTGCAGTCACATGTTTGTTGAATTAAATTTCTTAATAACCAAGCAAAATAGTTAGTATAGTTTAAACAATAAGAATAACTCTCATGATCGCCACGTTTTGTCTAAACTCGGGACTAGATTTGCTTGTCAAATCTTGAAGTACTAAAACTACACATATTATACATTGAGGATCAAATTGACTCTTGTCAAAACTTTAAGAACTAAAACTGCATAGAAACTAAATATTAAGAACTAAAATTACATTTTTTTCCCCCTATATTACAGTATTAGATCACGATTTCAGGGGGCAAGAGAAGGACTTCGTACGCAAATTGTAAAATTTCGTAGAGGGTAAGAAAAGCTTTTAAAATTTAAAGGGGAGGCGAGGAGGGCCCAGCTGCATGCCTCCGCTTTATGCTATGCTATGAAGCCATGTACAGCAGACAGCTAGTGTTACAGAAATTGTGGAGGAGCTCCTGAGTTTCCCGCTTCAGTGGGTGAAACTGTGATGGGATTTAAAGCCGTAACCTTCTAAGGAGTGCAGTTTTGAGAGCATCCTCGGTAGCCAAAGCATCATTTCTGGGAATCCTAATCACAACATCGTGTGTAGCATCAAGTCCTGTACGGGGGAGAAGCTTGCGGAGCAAACTTGGAGCTCCATTTGTCGCAGTGCATCCATCAATTTGGCTGATGGGTAATTCACATCCGGACATAGAATGTGGAGAATGGCTACCGATCCATTCACAAACTTTACATGGATTTCATGACTCGAATTATTAGCAGTATATGGAACACTATTATAAGGTTTAGATGACATTCCGCTTTGATTTTGATCAGCTGTGACGGTGCTTTGAGTCTCTTGAATGAAATCCCCGCAGCTTGTGGCAGTAGTAACAAGTAGTTTGCGATCATGATATTGTGCTCCTCCTCGCGATCCAACCCCAACTCTGGCCTCCAATTCCTGAATTTTGGCCTTGAGCTCGTTGATGTAAGCGACTGCATCTGCAAGAAGCGAGGCTTTGTCCATTCTGGACACGTTGGGTACCACGCTTCTGAGAGCATAGAATCTGTGATTGAGCTTCTCTCGCCTCTGCCTTTCTGCCTCCACATGGTTCAGCGCCATTTCTTGCCCCGTCATGGATGCCTCTCTCATTCTTCTTCTCGATGACGGCGATCGGACCTTGCTCCATTTTCCTGCCGCCTCGGGCATGAAATTTTGAGTTTCCAATAGTTTGGGACCAGTGTGAGCCATCCCTGCAGATCCGGTTGATATCGGCTGCCCACCTATTGGTGTCAGCGTTCCTGAAGCGGATTCATCATCAATGTTCATAATTGTTAAGTTGCTTTCCTGGGGCTTGTCTTCCTGCAGTGAGCTTTGTTTGGCATCATGACCTAGCAGGCCGCCAATGTCAAACAGTCCTCCTCCTGCAGGAGTAGTATTATTACTACCAAGGATGGCGTCTCCGGTGGTGGTAGTTGTACTAGTACTGCTGGTGCTGTTTTGATCTTCTGAGCCAAACAGTGTCTTGCAAAGTTGCACCAGTCCCCAGTCTTCTTTTATCAATTCTGAGGATCCCAATTCCAGAATTCCACCTGAAGTGGAGATGCAAACAAAAGTTTTAACTCCATGAGAATGAGCTTCTTTAGCCCTCTCGCAGTTGTAAAACAGGAGTTGGTGATCTCCAACTAACCACGCATACGAACCGAATTGAAGGTTCGGACCAGAAGGTCTTCTCCGGACACAAAGCACCTGGTCAGCGACAGCATATAAAACCACTCCGAATCAGCAACATCCCGGCCATCACCAAATCCATCGCTTTTGCTGTGGGAAGTAGAATCCCTCCAGGGAAAGGACGAAGGAACTTCTTTCCCTGCCTTCCTTCTCCCGAAGATGTCCTGAGTGGTCACCTTCACGCCGTTATCGGCAAGTGTTTGCTGTAGTAGCAATCCGTTGTTATTGCACGCTCTCTGGGAACAGTCTTTAGGCCCGCGAAATGGCCATCACCCCACGACAAAACCAGGCGCCCGTCTCGATCCCTTGATGCCTGCCAGAAGATAGAATAAACCCACCACTCTCGCTGGTTTTGCATGATGAACTGCAACCGTTGCTTAGGTGCAGCAAGTGTTGCTTCGCAGAGTAGCGAAGCCGGAGAAGATGCTGCAGCAGCTAGAATGTCTTCCATTGATATTAGTCACTACAGACCACAAAATGATGAAGATGATAGGGTCTGATTTCAGATACAGAGATACAAGATATAAAATACTACTAAAAGTTTCTTACTGTTTATTTCCAGAATTACGAAAGAGGAGAATAGGATGAGTTTCAATTGGTGGGCAAGGGATTCAAGAGTTAAATACTGCTTATATGATTCTGAGGTAAAAGGGCTAGGCGCTATATATATTTTTCTCCGGAGGCAGCGCTGTATTACGTCCATTCCCTAACTTGGCGTCAACGTTATACCCGCTCAGCGTGTATCACGTGCAAATTTCTGATTCCCTAGCAATGTACCACAACCAACCAATAATTAGACATCTACCCCTAACTATCTTCCAAAACTAATAAGCACCCTTTTTTTTTTCTTTTTTGCCAACACGATAGGGATTCTATTCTATAATTACTCCTATTCTATACTAGAGGGAGGAGGGAACCTAAAGAGATTAAAGGGGAATCTGGCGAGTCACCACCGCGTTCAACGGCACCTACTGACGAAATTTTAAAAAAGTTGAGATATTATAATACATGTAAATCAAGAAATTCGATCCTTGGCCTACAATCAAATAGAGGTATAAACTTTCTTGGTGTCAAGTACCTAAATACCATAAGGTTCTCGTAACTTCTTAATGGAACACTTTAGTTTGTCTTTGCCCTTAGATTTGTATATACAATCATGCACTTAAAAATAATATACCACATACTTTGTCCGTTGTGGCCTCTAACAGAGATTGAATTGCGCTTATTTTCTGCTATGTAGTGAAGTAGATATTAATATTATAATGCAGGCTAGCGCTACAATTTGTCAGGCCTCATTTCTATGTGGAAAGAATTTTAATAGTGATTTGTAATTCTAAATTATCACTGATAGCTCCTTGTTCAAATCAATTGAAAATTTATGAGTTTTGTTTTTAGCTATTTTACTAGAGAGAGAGAGAGAGAGAGGGAGAGGAGTTTGCTTCTCATAATTTGCATCTATCTAGTAAAATATTCTTATTCATTTAGCGGTATAAAAGTTTTTCTATTGAAAAATAGTTGTCAAAATTCATTACAGTTCAACCAATTTACTACAACTTGATAGTGTATACAATTGATAACTTAGGGTACAAATCACATATGGGTGACAATTTAGGAGTGCATATTGCTATTAACCCAAAATGACATACCGCTGCATTGCCCTGCCCCCACGGTGAGACGCAGCATAAAGGCAACATGGAAGAGTGAGCAACAGAATGACAGTAGGGTCCATTGATTCCGGAAGGATGAATTATGATGACATTCACACTCACAGATCAGAGAAGGATTACACTTTTTTTTTTTTTTTTGTCATCACCGTGGGTATCCGGGTCTACACCCGACTAATCCCACAGCGTTCCAGCAGAGCGGGCTCAACCGATACTAAAAAAGATAACAACTGAGTTGCTATCCGGGATCGAGCCCAGATGGAACTCACCTAAGGAGGTTACTTCCACCAGCAGATTAACCCAGCGCGGGCCATAGAAGGATTACACCGCACCGGCAATCACCATGATATACTGTTGCCAAAGTTCTTTTTTTTTTTTTTTTTTAAGGATACTGTTGCCAAAGTTCTTGAACAGGGAAAAAACCAATCTCTATCGTGAAAAATCAGAAAATCAAGTAGAACACTGATGAAGTATACATTAGCAGAGTCTGTTGGGATATAATAGTACATGAAAGAAAAGCATGAGAATTAGCGAGTTAACAAAGCATAATAAAGACTAAGGCCTTGTTTGGATTGCATTTTCTTAGATTTTTTATAAAAAAAAATTATTGTAATGATTTGATGTATATGAGAAAAAAATAATAAAAAAATATAATTATGAAAACGACGCATTTTTCCGATGAAAAATGGCTGTCCAAACGGAGGTTTAAGATTTTTAATGCATGCACTCGTTCAACTTTGGAAATGAATTCCATATTCATGCACGTGTTTAAGAAGCTTTAATATGGTAGTTGTCGCGCCCCATTTTTTGATAAATAAATAAAATGATAGTTTTTGTGATTTTATTGGTTTGGAAAAAGTGAATTTTTTGATAAAAATAAAAATGGGTCTAAATGGGACTTTTGAAAATCGACGATTTGACCCAATAAAAATAGTTCAAAAAGGGTTTTTTATATGAAAAATGGAGTCGCCACTTGGTATAGAGTTAGGGTGTACCAAGTCACCCAAAAACTGAATTTTTTAAGGAAAAAAAAGTAAGAAACCCTTTTGAACGACTCCTAGTCCACGCAAACAAAGAAAAAGGTTCGGGAGTCACATTTGACGAAGGGGAAGGCAAGGATAAAAATCCAAGGCACCCCTTCGACCTAGCCAAGGCTAGTTGCGTGATTTAACCCTTATTTTCCTAATTTTTTCTACCCAAAGTATGTATTTGCAATTTGGACAAAGACTAATGAATGAGAAATGCAATCCTAAATCTAAGAAATGTCTCTTATGAGGCTTGTGGTCCCATTCACATGAATTGTGAAGGCCAATAAGAAAGACCTCATAGAAAATCGTGAATGATGCAAATGAGGACTCAAATAAGAGTGTAAGTGTGCAAAGTGTAGAGAAGGGCATGTGTGCAATTTGCAAGTGTTTGTGTGCAAATGAATGAAAATATAAGTGCTCGTGTGCAAGTGAACAAAAATAGTAAATATATAAGTAAAAAGATAGGTGCAATGTGTGAGGTGAAAAATAAAGAAGTGAATAGGTGTGTAAATATGGCATATGGATTAAAAAATTTAATGAGGAGAATAATGAGAAAATGAAAATGTATGAACTTAGAGGAATGCATCAAGTCGGGTACGGGGATGACCTCTAGTTTTATGATTTTAATTTTCCCTTTGACTAGAAGGAAAAACTAGCGTGCTAAGGCTATTTGAAGCCATACTCGCTCGTTTCCCTTATCGGAGGGGATTTTCACGCAAATGAACCCTAACTAGCATGAGATGCAAGTCCTAAAGTGAAGGGGAAGGGGTTTGAGGAACATACCAAATGATAAACTAAGGAAAAATGCGTGATATGTGGTGATCATGCACTTAATGAAAAAGGAAAAAAAGAACCTATTGGGTCTAGCATTGGACTAGCCCATCCTATGAATTCCGACTAGCGTTGGACTAGTGAAAACGATAAAAGAAGCCACAACTAGCGTTGGACTAGTGTGGTGACGTACATTCATCCATTCCATTCATCTATACTACAAAAACGAGTAGACATGCAAATCACTTATAAACACGTAGCACATAACATGCTCGACTAGATGCAAGATCCTAATAAAGCATTTAACATATAACACATAGGCATGCAACCATTACATTTGCTAACTAAAACAAAGGGGAAAGGGAAAATGGACCAAATTACTTGCTACGCCCTATCTATTACAAGCCAAGAGGTGTACACATACCCCATTAATAAAAATCAAGAAGTAAATGAAATAAATGAAAGAAAATAAGGAGCGGCTAGGAAAGTAAGTAGACATGCAAATTTCAATTAGCACATTGGTCCACATAGGAGAGACAAAAGGATAAAAGAAAGTTATACCTCCCTCGTTCTTGAAGCTAGTAAAAAAAAAGGTCCTAATTTGGGCTAAAACCATCAAACAAAGGATTAATGCACCAATTTAATGATAGAATGTAAATAAACAAGCTAAATCCACCAAAATCAGCAAATCATTCCTCAATTTCAACTTCATGGAGTCAAGAGTTAATTAAAGACCAAGAAATCGGAATGACCTATTCAAATCCCAAGTAGCATTTACTAAGGACCCAAAAGCAAGCATTGTTCAAATATTCAAGTCCAAATAAACAGTTTAAGCACTTCAAAGACTCCAAAAATAAAGAAAGAGCCAAGCAATGATTGAGGTTGCAATGATTTTAGGACTTAATTACAAGATACTAAAACATGCTTGGGCTTTTGTGGCACACAGAGAAACTTAGAGGGATCAAATTGATTAAATGTTCCAATTACTTAGGCCTTAGTAGAACAAAAAGGGACTTGGGGGTCAAAATGCAATTTCTAAAGTTATTTTCATGCAAAAATCATGCAATCACGTAGAGGAATTCTGCACTCAAATTGCAGCAAAACATGAAGCTTCGGCAATCCAAAAAATGCAGCAGTAGCTTCCATTTCACACGCAAGTTTCATTTCAAACCTTCAACAAACAAAACTTTGAACTAACTCCAATCAAAACATAACCAAGCACCTCATGGCAAAGCAAAACTTAGAATTTTTCCATGCAAGTTAGCTAGAAACAAAACCTCTGCGACTAAAACAGAAAATTTTCTATTTCGTCCACAACCATTCTCATGCAGTTTCCTTATGCCATTTAGACACATTCATGCAAGCCAAACAAGAAAAAAAACATGACTGAATTGTTATCTAGACAAAATGCTAGAGCTCAGAGCCAAAAGAAAGAATCAAACGAAAGAATAAAGTTCTGCAAAATTGGTTTCGGCAGGCTGCTGTACATTCATCCAAAATTTTCCCGCAACTTCAAGCTTTCAAATGCAGGTTTCATATAAGACTTCAGGCAAGAGCTAGTGAAAAACATCACTCAATATCATTGGGCAACTAAACACCTTACTCAACACCTTACTCAACACAAATCCATCAGGAACACAAACCATTAAAATCAAAATGAATGACCAAATGGGGAGGCACAAGCTGCGGCAGAAGAAAGAACAACCAACTTTCTAAGTTTCCTGGTGAGCTTTCCTTTAGCATATAATCTCAAATAGACGTCAAAATCTCAGCTTTAAGCAATGAAACATCAAACTCATCCATCAAGACTGAATTCAGATTGGAAACATGCAATTCTGGAAAAACATACAAGAATGATTCGGCAATTTGGTTTGTTCATTTTTCAGCAAAATATTGGAACATGATTCAAATGTTTTAAGGACTCAAACATGCAAACTCAAAACACTCTTCCCTTGCCCTTTTCCATACAAGACTAAATAACAAATTAG